ATTAATTGTTTTAGATCAAGAAGACCAATATCCAGATCTTGATCAGTAGGAGGATTGTGAATAGGTTTCCTCCCAGACCCTACCAAGTGGTAGTGAAGGTTAACCCCTTAAAATATTTATTTACTATTTTTAGTTATTTATTTTGTTTCTTTTTACGAACCGCTGTAAAAAAGACATTCATATAACTCTATTGGGTACTCTAATTTACAATATAAAGAATGTAAACTCTAATTATTGTTTGCTTCCGCATTTAAAGTATGAATTCGTTTTTTTAAGTTACGGGCCTTTACAAGATTAATATTTGTAATATCATTTTTTTTTTTGTTACTCAAAAACAAAATCCGGTATATTATTAAGATTATCCATGAATATTTTAAGATAAATTAAATAAAATTTTTGAAGTTTGGATATACCATTTTTTTTAAAAGTAAAATTACCTATTATATTACAATTTTTATTACTTCATAATCTGATAACTGCAATATTATAACTTAATATTGTTTAAGATCTATTAGAAAAACTAAATTTAATTGCAAAGCTAATTATAATTATACTCAAATCTGGAAAACTTCTAATTTACCATAAATAATGCAAAATCAGTAGCCTATATCACTCATCATAAAATGTCACCAGTGATTTCTTGTTTAGATGGCTCTCTATTAAAAAATTATATTATTATTTATATATATGCTACCTACTTAGTAAAATATATAAATTTTCGTTAAAAAAAATATTTGCTCAAAAATGTTGAACTGCTTCCTTGAGTTAAACTCATAAAATAATTTTTCTTTTTATTAATATTACTTCTGTTGTTGATAAAATATGCAAATGTGAATTTGGCATGGATTCAGAACCAGCAAATTTCTGAAAAGACAAATTCAATTTCTGCTGCAAATGCATCTGAGCTTCCCATCATGGACAATTAGGCAATTGTTAGTTCAATCTCCATTTCTTATCACACACATTCCATGAAAATGGTGTACCAAATGTCTGCATTTCTTACAGTTTTGGGTTACCCATAAAAGTCATGCCAAATACCTACTAGGCATTTTAGATACACAGATCATATCCTAAAAAGTAGAAATTTACAAAAACCTTGTATTGATAAAATTTCCAATCAAGTTGGTTAATCCACATTCGAGGGAGATCTGATGCACGGATGAAAATACCTCCAAAACATTTACTTCAGGATAACAGCTGCATTTCTAAGAGCCAAGTACCTTTGCACGTATTCATTGGGAAGGGATCGTATGAGCTTGAAGACATCAGCATTCGCGTAGCGAAGATTGGTCCTCGGATCATAGTAAGGTGCCTGCATAATGTACCACCCAGTTATCCTCCCCAGAGAAGTATAGATATATAAAACAAATAGATGATTCATAGACCAAGATCTTGAGGACTGATGATCAAGTCCTCGCCTCCACACAAGGGAGGCATAGGTTTCACTGCCTACTAGCAATTTTATGCCCAAAAGAATAGATTAATGAACCGGAGCTTATTATGGTAAATGCTGTGACATTTATATGCACAAATTTGTTATTAGTAGCATCTGAAAGAGATCTGTTGATGATATAAAGAAGAACGTCAAGTAGGTAGTTATTTTCTGAAGGTTAAAATAACAGAGCTATAAGAAGCAGTTGCCACACTCCTTGACAATCCAAGCACAAGCTGAGACATTAACCTTTCAATTAAAAAAAAGAAACTGAGACATTAACCTTGACTCTTTCAAGGTTAAGCTAAATAGTATGAGTGCAACTCAAACAGCAGACTAAACCCATAGCTACTTTCAAAAGTGCAGAATGCATAGGTTCGCTTAACAATAGAATTTCCTGAAACAATTTTGGAAAGAGGAAAAATGTAATCATAGTTCTGCTCTGACGATATAGTCAATAGTTCCACGTGAACACTCAAAAAATGGTCCATGAAGCAGGCACTTTGTTGACCAGGAAATCCATGAGGAAACTCACCAGCATTTTGCCATAAGCGTTCTTTGAGGAAAAGAAATTAGAGCAAGGATGGGTGTGAATAAAGGGGATTTTGTTGAAGGCATGAAAGATACAACTGCTCATCTTGGAACCATGTGTGGGAATATTCTAGAAAATCCCTCTAACTAACTATTTATAGTCACTAGAGCTGCATACCTCGTATCCAGTTATATCGCAAATTCTCTTGCATGGATGCATTGAAGGTGGTGACTCTATATTGACATCTGCATCCATAGATGAATAGTTTGTATTAGGATTACAGTTAATATCGATTTCGGTAACCGAATTAACTAAAGAGCTAACAGGTTCTCTTTTTCTAGATTCAGTCACCAATTTAAGCAATTGAAATGTTTAAACCAAACTCGTGTCATCTAATCTTAGATATCTGCTATTTTAACAGCGCTCAATTCCACCCCGCTATGCAGGTTCGGTAAGATGCAAGTCTCTGAGTAGACCTACTATCCTATTTCTGAAACACTATTTAACCAGATAAATCTATGACCACCTACCTGTACAACTATCACTAAAAGATGGAAAAGAAGAATAAATAAGAATCCCAAGAAGTTGTTAGAACACCCTATCATTGATATTGTTTGAACCTGAGTAATCTTTTACTACTTATAGTTATCATCAGTGACTTTTCCTTGTAAGGAAACTTATGGTTTAAAGTAACGGAACTTTTAATTAATTGAAGAAAAACTGATAGCATTGCTTGAGCTACTAGTCTAGCTAAGTAAAGCAGAAAAGGCAAATCTAATGCAGTAACATATTACATCAAAGGAGAAAATGCAAGATTCAGACTGGTGTATAATGCAAACTAAAGTTGCAAAAAGCAAATACTTAAGCGAAAAAAAAGAAAGAAAAGAAACAACAATTCCAGCAATCAATATGAAGGATCATTTAAAGCCATCATTATGTTAATTTTGATTAGTCGATAAACATCCATCTAGAAACACCAGTTCCATATTTTAAACCTATTCATCCGGAACAAAATCGACTAAGTAACAAATATGAACCAAAATCTTCAGTCAATTCAAAATCAACAAAAAAGGAGATAAAAAGCATGAGTTTTTCTCCATTCTTCCTCAAACATGTACTCCCGGTTTCAAAGCAAAATATTTTTATCAGGCCTATTTTGATTCTGTCTCCAGGTTAACATCCGTGAATTATATTTTTCTCCCTAAAATTGCTCTCTTTACCTCATCAGATAGCGTTAAGTATGCAGTTATCTCTATATTTTGAATTCATCCAGAAAAATGCATTCAAGTAGAATGTTTAGCTTTCAGGTTGGGAGAACCTTGGCCACTTGTAACTAAAAAAGATATGATCACAGCTAGAGTAGCCAAGAGATATATAAACTGTTACAGATCCTCGTTAACTTGAAATGATATCCCTTGATAGAAACCTAGATTCTAATGGGTAGAAATCATGAACCAAAACTATGCAGCCATTTTATCAGAATCTTAATAACACCAAAGTAAAAGAAAAGAGGATGCATACTAACAATTGGGTTCATCAGGAGAATAATTTTGGTAATTCTCAGCTTGGAGGATCTGCTTGAGATGTTTCCAATGCCTGCCTCTTGATTGGCCTTTTGGATACTTCTCATACATCTGTATCTTCTTGAAACTAAGGTGAGTTGGCAACACTAGCTCTGCTTTTATAACCTCTGGTTCCATATCTCTATGATTGGATTGAATGACCCAGTATAGAGAAACTCCAGAAGAGATATTGCAGAAACCAAATTCAATAAGCCTAAACACCAAATTAAACTAGTCGAACGAGCAACTATGCAACTAATATATCACTCGGAAATCAGATGACGAAGAAAAGAAGTACAAAATGAAAGAAATCAGAATGTCGAACACTGAAACCCTAACCCCACCCGAGAGACGAGAAAGAAGAAGGACGAAGATGAAGAAGACTATAAACGGCACCGTTTGGTTATACTCTGTAAGTCCGTATTATTACGCGGCAACTATCCGGACGCAAGAACGAGGCAGGCAGGGAGCAATATGGCCGTGGCCCATTACGACGCCGTTTAGTTCTTCTCTCTGATTCGATTTCGTCCCTCTCTTATAAAATTTAATTTCTGTAACTTTATTTAGCAAATTTTAAGTTATATTATGATTTTTTCTAATTTTGTCTTCCAATTTATTTAATAAAGTAAATATTGAGAATTAGTCAAGTAAACAATTCAAATTCTCTCTTCAATTAATTTTCTTCTCAATTAATTTTCTTCTCAAAGAAAATTTATGAGAACAAAAATTAAAATTAGATTTTAAGTGTAAGGTTATTTTCGCATTTACTTATTGCATTTAAAATTATAATATAAAAATTAAACCCAAATGAATAAAGTAAAACCCACATTTCCTTAATCTTATTTGTTTCTGGGTATTTTATATTGTTCAACTCAAAAGGGAGGAAAACTGGCATGATAAATGCAAAATACATATCTGGATCTGCTCACTCCAATTTCATTAATCAAATTCTACTAAAACCTAAAGATGAAATCAAGATATAAATCATCTTTCAAATACTTTAATACAAGTGAAATTACCCACAAAACAAAAAAAATTGTGTTCCTGTTCCCATATATATAAGTTTATTGATCTCTTTCTCTCAGTTCCAAACTCTTCTGAAATGCACATGCAGTAGATATCTAGCTAGGCTGACCAAGAAGTGAAGGCCTGTAGAAAGAATGGGTCTGTGCAATCTCAATGCGTTCCCGAGGATCATTCAAAGTCTCATCTCTAAGTGCTTGCAGAATAGCTTCTGACGATTCTTCCCTGCAGAAATTTCCGAAAACATCAGCGTTTCAAATGAAATAATCACAATTCAAATTTTCAATCTCTAACTTTAATATCATATCAAATAAGTACTCCAACTTTAGCATTTATACCGTAATGAAAATGAAATTATTCTATGTAAATTAGGCTAAAAAGCATTAAGATAAAACACACTATATGTAAATAATTATTTTTTTATTTAAAAAAAAAACTATATATATAAAATTGTAATATTTGATCAAATACATATTTAATCATTTTAAACATTTGCAAAACAATAATCGTTTTTTATTGTCGAAATAAACCACAAAGTCATAAGGGATCAGCCTTCATTGTCCACCACCACCACCATCCAGTTGCTAACTCCAAAATCAGCCTTCACTGCTGGTGCCAGAATCCACCAGCCATGCAGCCAACATCCTTCTGCGTGCTGTCCAACCAGCTCTGTTGTTGCTTCTGGCTGTTGCACCACCACCAGCATCTGTCTGCGTGGAGGTTGGACCTCCACTGGCGTCTCCGCCACGCGCCCAAACCTGCACCACATGCAAATAACTGCAGCTAATCCCTACAGCACATGCTACCAATAGTTGTCCCCTATAGCCACGACCACCAACCATGCCACCATCCGCAGATCTACCTCCCTATCGCAACAGTAGTCACAGTAGCCGAGAAACAGCCAGTCATCACCGTGCAGCTCCCCTATGCTACGCCAACCCAAACAGCGCCTTTGGCCATGTGTTTGATGCCTCCAACCGCACCTCCTGCTCAGCAACGCGATCAATCTAGCTGCAGGTATGTCCTTTTGCGCGCAACCAACAGCCATGCAGCCTCCACTTGATGCGTCTGCTTGCTGCACATAGTCCAGAAGCACAATCGATTCCTCACACGCGTAGCCTTTTGCTGCGGACAACTTGAAAATTATGTTCAAGCCTAATAGTTCCTAAATCTTGTTCTATTTAATCGGCTTCAGGTCACGCAAGAGGTTATATTTCAAGTTACTAGTGCAAAACCCACTCTAGTTACTAGTGCAATCGATTCCACAGGTACAGGCTTAGTAATATGTTCAAGTACATTTTCTTTCTCATATGGTTTAAATGTCTTGGATAACCTTTTTGAGAGGTCATGGATTATAGATTTAGGATTACTGACCA